TATATATTTTATATATATGTATATACATTTTATGCACTCGCACTTGCTTACCAGACTCGCTGTTGTCGTCACTCCCAGTGCCACTGTCATCTGCCCCCATTCGGATTGCAATTGGTTCGGTGGATGTCTGGTGGTTATAACTTGCAGCATCGTCAAATGACACCTCAGTCCGTGGCGTGCCATCGCCCTTTCCTTTTGCGTCACCCATGAAAACCGTTTTTAGGGCCTTAAAAGAATTACTTGCACCAGTTTTAGGAGGTTTGCCGATTTTCGGACTTGTCGTATCCATTTCATCAGGAACGTCCTGATTTTCTCCGGATTTGATCGGATTTGGAGCGAGCGAGTCCAAATTGGGAGTTTCCTGAATTTCGGCCGTTTTCGCGAGCCGTTTGCGGGTCATCGCACCTAATAAGGTGTTCGGGCGTGAAAGATCAAAATCGAATTATATGGAAAAACGAGCGGGTGTGGGGTGGACATGTCATTTCCCACATATCTCTGAAAAGTGCAACAAAGGCCATCAATTTTATCACATCCTACAACCTTAAAAACCCGTTAAATAATAGTCAACCAGTCCGCCCTAAGAGTAGCTTCACTACAGACGTATGTATAAACCAACGCTTGTGTACGTTATTAGATAATACTCAACCGGACAGCACTAAGAGTTTCTTCACTACAAACGTATGTATAAACCAACGCTTGTGTACATTAGATAATACTCAACCAGACAGCACTAAGAGTTTCTTCACGTCGTGATAGTATGTGTGTCCGGACAAACCACACACACACACTCGCACAACACATATATTGCACATACCCACCACACACCACACAACAGGTCTGAAGTATATACAGACATACTGTATGTACACAGCTACCCCCCCTCCCCCATTTACACTTAAGTATTAATTCTTCTTTACGTACTATACGTGCTTGTTCACAACGCACACTACACAGTCAGTGTGGGTCACAGTTTACGTACTCTCCTGTATATGCTGTACGGTTTCCTCAGAGGGGATCACGATGCGCATGCCCTTGAGAATATGAGCGGAGGACATGCGATTGTGCTTGACGAGTAACGGCACGCTGACCTCATACTTCACCGCTATTCCTGCCAACGTGTCTGCATCCTATTGCAATAGTTACGAGAACATATGGAATAGGTGAGAGGGATTGCGAGTTTCGGTATATATGGTGCTTGAAGATACGG